AGACATTTAAGAAAAGAAAGAGGAAAAACCCCAGAACTCGGGCTCGAGGCTTCAGGGAGCTCATGCAGAGCTCCCCATGCAGTGTGGGGCAGCGGGGATTGCCCCCCTGCTCAGAAGAAACAGTGAGTAGGGGTTGGGGAGGGTTCTTAAAAGCCAGAGCTGGGGAGGGCAGGGGTCGGGGGGCTTGTGCATAGTCCCCCATGAAGCATGGCAGTGGGGGGCAGCAGGGATCACCCCACACCTGGCAGTGAGTTGGGGCTTTTCTTTTCCAAGTACTAGGAGCTGGGGCTGGTGGGGCAGCCATTGCCAGGCTGGGAGAGCAGGCAATGGGCCTGGGCGATTTGGAGATTTGGCTGCTGCTGAATATCTGAATCAGATTTGGCCGAATCGATTTGGGACAGTGATTCAAATCACCGAATCGAATCACTGTCCCCTGAATCGGCCAAATCCAAAACCAAAGCAAATACTAGCCGCTTCGCACGGGCCTACTGTACGATGCCATGTGCCTCCCTCCACTAGGTGGCCAGGGGATGTGGCGCAGCCAGCACACTGTTCCCGAGGCAATGGCAGCAGCCCGCCTTTGCTCTGCCCCACACACAAATCCAGAGAGCACATGTACCCCATGCTTCTGCCCACCCGTGCCCCTAGACAAGCTGTCCAGAGCTCCAACTGTCCCACGACCCACCCCATGGCCCTGCCCCTGCTCCACTCCCTCTCTCACCGTGCAGCCCTGCTCTCACCCCACTCTGCCCCTTGGGACCTTTCAGTTGACGACCCCCAACCTACACAACCAAGGGAGGTGAAGTCAGTATGATGCTCATTTATATGGAACTGAGTGAACTGAAAATATGTAGATAAAATGTTTCTCAAACAGCTCATTCCATTTAATACTAAAAAGGGACTGACGTCCAAATAAATCTGTTATTTAAAATGATTTAGTTTGCTGAAATGTAAAAAGCATCTTAAATTACATTTCTAAACACTACTAATCAAGGTACAAAACATACCGTCATCCTTTCTAAAATTAACTTATAGAGAAGGAAAGATTTTTCTCCTCTATTGTACACCTACCTTTTTTAATTCTATTTGATAGACTCATTTTTGTACAAAACCACTAAAATATCCTTCAAATCTGTATTTGATTTATTTTAAGTGCCTCTTTGCTCTTTGATCCTTTGCAGCTCAAGTATCAAGAAATCTGAAATAAACTATGATACCATATTTACTCTAATCTAAAATGACCCTGAATAGAAGACAATCCCCCAATAATTAGATTCTATATATGGAAAAATGTATAAATTTATTACAAGTTTCCAGGTATAGAATTTAATGGTCAAAGGGCTGTCTTGAATTTTCCCCCCTGCCACTACTACAGCATGGAAAATAGCAGCTGGGGGCTCAGGTGGCCCCCTTGCTCTCTGCCCCCCACTTCTTATCCCTGCAGTCTCTGCTACTTCTCTCAGCCCCTTACTGTCAGATCCTGCTCAGGCTCCGTTTCCTCCCTAAGCACAACCCCACGAGTTGCATGTGATGGTAAGAGGGTAGGGCATAACCCCGCACGCAGATTCGGGGGCCCTGCAAGTTTCAGCACAGGTACTCTATGAGCATACTTTCTGAGCAGCATTTTTACATAGTACAAACTATACCTGATAACAGTCCAAAACCAAAAGGTTTATAACTTTATCTTGGGGATCCAGGTTGTCTGTTTAAAAATCCAAAATTCTCTTATTAAAACTCCCCAAAATCCACATTTTTCCATGATTAAAATAAAGGAACACTATATACATATACACACAAGTACCAGTCGAACACAATGTTTTATAGATATATTGACAATTTTAAAGCAATTTGGAAGCCTACCAGTGCCTCAATCATTAAAATAAAGTAAATTCTTCTATTATTTAAAATTATTTAGTTTTCTGAAATCTAAAGAGCATCTCAAGTTACATTTCTAAACATTACATTTTGGTTTTTCAACCATGAAAAAAAAAAAAAAAAAAAAAAAAAAAAAATCAGAGCTCCCCCCTGTTCTGTAGTGTACTAATGCACTCCTAACATATTTATTTTTCATATTCTGCTTTAAAAAATATTGTACTCCTTTGAAAGAAAGTCTGTTAGTTTCCATAAGAATGATGGTCTTTGGGATATGAAAAAACCCCCCATGCAAGTGGCTGTAAGCTCTTTTAATAGGAGATGTGGCAGGGGGGTATGTGTCCCCCCCAGATTTCTGAACCTATAGCAGGGCAGAACTGCAGCCTGGCCAGAATGGAACGAGCAGGAGTGGCCACTGTGGCCCAGCAGCCAGGACGTGGCATGGGGCGGAAAGATTCATTGCTACTGCCACCAGAACCCCTGTGCCAGCTGCGCTGCCAGTAGCTTAAGTAACAGACATGGGGGAGGGGGTGGGGGGCAGGGCAGCCCATGCTATCCTCACCTTCTCCTGCCACCAGCCTATCATGCACTAGGCCACGGCTCTACCCCACTGCCAGGGCCTAACCACCACCGCTGCTCCCCTCAGGCCACCTGCACTGCCCCCATACCACCTCTCCTCTGGGGTAAAGCCATGATCTAAGGGGAGAAGCAGTGGCAGTAGAGAGCTATGGCCTGCCATATAAGCAGCTGGAGGTGAGGACAGTGCAGGGGTGTGTGCGTGTCCGGTCTGCTATTGCTCACACTGCTGGTGGCACAACTGGTGTAAGGGCTACAGCGGAGGCAGCAGCAGCAGGAACAACAATGAGTCTTGTCACCCCACTCTGCCCTTCCACATGGGTCCTGCCCACTGAGCTACACAGGTGACTCCTGCCCATGCCCTACTGTGGGTGCACAAGTCACTTGCCTCTCCATGCTCCCCACATATATCACATATGCCCTCCCACACCCTGCCACATTACCTATGCACCCCCATAGACTTACCTGTAGGGAGCTGCTTGAGCTGCTCTCCACCATGATGCCTGGCTGCATGTGGTGCCCCCTGCCTGATTGCCCTCCTCCTGCTCCCCACAACCCCAAGCAGCCCCTTGCAGGCTGGAACTCTACCAGCCTGCAAAGGGAAAATCCACATTTTTCTGCAGCAAATGAAAAACCTGTATCCCTGTTTATCATATAGTTAATTGGGCTGGGCCCCAGCAGAGACAATAGCATTTCAAGCCATGGTGACCTCACAGCCCAGGACTGCTCAGTGTATGCGTGTACTCCAGACACCCCCAACAAAAGGTCTATGTGAGAATTAGCCCCTCACTCATGAATGGAACCAGGTGCTTTTGTAACAAGTCCTGGGACCCTCCAAATATTTAAATGCAGATGAAGTGTGGGGCTGTCTGGTCCATTGCCACCCATGAAAGGTGGGGCCACACTAATCACTTGAGGCAGGCCAAGAGAGGAGAAGACAAAGCCTCTCATCTATATAGAAGTTTGGTGATGTTTGCCAGACATTTAAGGATGATGAAGAAACAGGAATAACTGGAAACAGGAAGGAAAAAAAAAAAAAAGGTGCTGCTCAACTGTGGGAGTGAAGAGGAAATGTATTTGATGTAGTGGTTCACCATGACTTCAAAAAAGAGTCAGCGCTAAGGGGGACTGAGCACAATGGGCACTATATCTTATTCAGATGGGTTGCACTAACCTAGTCTTCTAGCAGGTTTCCAGTGTGTTGGCCCAATATAGTCCATGTGTTTTATGGACATATGCAGCATGGGCTGCAATCAACCAACCTCATAGTTGGTTTCCATGACTGAGCACATGCGGTTTCTAGCAGCAGTTTAATGTTAGACAATGTATTTAATGGAGTGGGAAGGAGGATCTGGTATGCAAATGTAAGATGGGAGCTTTTCACCCCACCCCATGTAAACTGGGGAGGAAAAGTCTTACATTTAAGTGAATATGGTATTTGTTCTACCTTGCTCCATTTTCTACAGCTCAAAGGAAAGTTAACAGATTACAGTAAATTAATACAGTAACAAGCTTTTAAAAAAATCTCATTCAGTGAAGTAAATATAAATTGTCTATATTATTTTAATTTTTGCCAACTGTATATAGTTACCTCATTCATGAATTGTAGCCCTATATTAAAAGATCTTGTTTCACATCAGTCACAATATTGCCTTATACTACTGGATTGAAACATGAGTAAAAACAAGTTCATTTTAATTTTTCAGAAATTTCTATTACTGGACTTATCCCATCAATTTGCTTTTACAGAGTAAATGTTGAGGTATAGTTACTTTCATACATACCAAATTTACACTAAATAACTAAAGTTAAGATGCACCAGCAGTTGCCGCGCCACAATATCCGAAATATTTTTTCTATCTATGAAAATAGCAAGCAGTAACAGCAACACCTCAAGGCTTTGAAAGATTTAAATATTTACAGAATATTTTTAATGAAGACAGCAATGTTTCCTACCAATTATTCATTCTATCTGACGCATTTGGTATTTCTCAGCACAGTCAAGTCCATAAAATAATTGTGAAAAAAAAT